CTATCTTGGGGAAAAAAAAAAAAAACTTTTAATAACTGCATTGCTTAGTTTCTATAATCCTGAACCATAAACTTATGGCAAACAAAGTGTGGTATAGTTCAGTGAATCTTAAGAACACAGTTCAACTTTATTTTGCTGGCAACCTTTGTTACATTAAAGATACTAAAAAAAAAAAAAAAAAAAAGATACTTATACAAAAAAAAAAAGATACTTCTACAAGGAAAAGAAATAGACATCCTTTCATGACATTTTCAATATAACCTCAAAAATTACCTCAATGTTTCATCACCTATGGAAACTACTCAAATCAACAAGCTGTTCCCCCACCATCTTTCCTCACAGGTGCAAGTATCTGGTTTTTCTCCCTTTAACCTAAATTCAGGCACATTAAAACTGAGATATTAAAGGGCATTTTTTTTTAAAAAAAATCAAAAAATCATAATTTTTACCAAAGCAATAACGCTAACCCCATCACCAGATGGAAATTATAGAAAAACATTAATATTTATTTTCTGCTGTATTTCACATAAAATAATGAACTATGCATAATTCCAGTCATTAAAGTGCTATCTTTTATAATCTAATTGACACTTTACAAAGAGGATGTTACACCCTTACAAAATGCTTTTTACTTTCAATATCATATCTACCATCTCATTTTATTATTATTCTTTTAAAATTCCTGGGTGCACAGAGCTGGCCTTATTTTAACTTTGAGAAAATCAACATTCACTGAACCTACAAGAACTTTCTTAAGGTCACATAATAGTCAGTAGTAGAGTTCTAACTAAACCTTGAATTTTACCCCAGAGTTTCCATTATATGAAGATTATCTTTGTAGCTCTTCAAAACTTCCCATTTTAGCCTTCCTAAATTCTTTATATTCACAAGATGTCTTCTGATTAATAATTTAAGTGGTTAATAGGTTAATTAAGCAAAGCAGAAATGAGACCACTCACTTGAAAAGAATTTTGGCAAATGTCATTTGGAATAGAGGAGGGAGAAGAAAGGAGGAGGAAAAAAAGAGGAAGAAGTAGGGGAAGAAGCAGAAGCAAAGGAAGGAAGGAAGCCTCTCATCATCTGAGGAAGGTAAACAACAATTTTCAAGTGCATGTCTCCTCAATATTCCAGCATTAAAGGTCAGGAAATCAGGTGGTAAATTCAAAAGGGAGCAGATAGTAAGGACTGAAGATAAAGCATCATTGTGATGGCATCAACAACCTTCAGTTGTCAGAAAACAACCTGTTCTACTTTGACACAAGTAACATCAGAAGCAGTAAGCGATCTGCCTTAAGAATCTTAGTTTATACTTATTTATACTTACAAATGTCACACCCACACAACTGTTACTAGACTTGGAAGGTACAAAGAGAAAAACCACCACAAAAACTCAAGCAAAAGTAATCTCTGAAATACAAATGAAATCACAGAATAAAACAAAAGTAAAAATTTAGACTATAAGACCAATTCCCACTTACCAGAAGGGAAGGGAGAAGGAAGGAAGTAAACCAGGTAAAAGGGGCTAATTGTATGGTGAAGGGCAGAATTTTACTTTTAGTGCAGAGTTCATTTTTTTAAAGATTCATTTATTTATGCATATAGAACTGGGGTACAGGTCAGAGGTGCAGGGGCGGTGAGAGGATTCACCAGTCAGAGTGGGGAGCAGAACAGACAGATTAGGGGAGCAGCAGGGGAGGCAAGAGAGGTCTGCTGTGCCATGTGGGTCACCTAAGGGGCTGGGGATTGACATGCACTGAAGCTGCTGCTGCTGCTACCTTGCAGTGCTATGCTTTCACCCGCTGTGCCACCAGGGAAGGCCAAGAGAATTTAACTGACATATACAGATGCTGGTTTTTAATGATGCACACCAGGTATTTACACATTATTTTGTGTGACTTCCATAAAAATATATAATCACAGAGTTAATCTTAAAACATTACATGATTTCAGGATCCTGAAAAATTCACCTTACAATTCATTCTCTGGTAGCTGAATAACTGTCATATAACCTATATAATCAATGACAGTTTTATAGCTAGCACATAAACTGAAATTCTTTCCTAACCAATAGGTAATGAAAAATATTAAGCTATTCATTCAAAAACTTCTGATGTACCTATCATCAGAACTACCTCATATGAAGGCTACTAACATAAAAACCCATTGAATATTAATTAATTTGTTAACCAAGCCAATCAAAGAGCTAATTCAGGTTTTAAAAATCAGAAAACAAGCCTTACTTACAAGAAAAAGTCCAGTCAATTTTGAATATAACTTTTTTAAATATGCAGACCATACTAGTAATGCAGGATGATGAATACTAGAAATGCTTCCATCAACAAAGACTTTTTTGTTCAATATTTGATTGACATGCCATCAGAAACACTAAAGGAAAAAACACAATGATTCGTGTTGCACTTCCCAGAAAGAAGAAAATGGGAGGTACTCCACAAAAGGGTCCAACCTGATTTTTGTCACAAACCCAATAGAAACTAATCCCATATTCTGTATGAATCCTGATAGAGCGGGAGTTGTGGAGAGCCAAGTCAGGTTCATGTTCAAATAAATCAGAAGTAAATGGTGCAATATATCAAAAATCAGGTTCAAGTTTAAATAAATCGGAAATAAATGGTGCAATATACCAGACGACTTCTGTAAATAGTCAGCCATATGACTAATTTTGTAACAGGATGCACTGGATCAATACATAACTCTACACAACCACACATTCTAACATTGCTCATATTTCTTCAGGGCTTTAAGAATTATAACCTCTACATTGGGCAGAAGCCCCTTCACTCCTAAAAATATCCATCACGCTGCACTCTCGTCCTTTTGGCTGGGGGAACATGCTAAGCGAAGGTAAGATGATAATTGTGAATCTAGCTCCTCTTCAAGAAACTTTGGAACACAGGGAGAAATGCAATCGTCTCAAACAGCAGAAGCAAGTGTTTAAGGGGCATTGCACATTTCAAACGCCACTATCGGTGTTGATCCTCTATGTCATGAACTTTCTTTCCCAGTCTACGTTTGCACCTCTGACACAAGAGCTGGGCGCTTATCCCTCGCTGGGAACAGAAGCTGAACTATGTACTTCCGAAACAAGTTCAGGTACAAGGGACGCGAGAGGGGCAAGAGAACTTCCAATGTTTCCCACAAAACCTCCACCAAAACCTTCCGCCCTACCCCTTCCCCATCCGCCATACAGGCAGCAATCGGGGGGCATCCAGGGGCCGGCGAACTGTGGACGCAGATTCCCTGCCTGCCTGGCCAGCCTCGGCCGCAGCCCGGCCTTCAGCCGCGGCTGTGAAGTCCCGGCCCTCGCCTTCACTACAGTCCCCTCGGCTCCGGCGCCGGAGCTCCCCAAATTGGTCTTCTTCCCGCTCTGAGCCCTGGTCCGCGCACCAGGCGTCCACCTTTACCTGCGCCTCCCGCCCGGCCCCGCCGGCCTGGGTCCAGCCCAGTCGCCGCTTCACGGGTTCAGGCGCAGTGAGCCGACCTCTGAGCGCCGCACCGGGCTACAGGGGCCACGGGCGGTAGAGGCAGGAAGCAAAGCTACTTACACGGTTGATAAGGCTTCTCGCTTCCCCCGCGAGGCTCCGCCCCCTGTTGATCCTCCCCGCCAATCCTCAACTTTTCTGAGCGCGGCTCCTCCCCCTACTCCCCGCCCCCCAGACGTTTGGATCAGATGCTCAGACAGAAAGAGTCTAGGCCAGATCGAGTCGATCTGGACTATTTGGCCAAGATTAAGCCTCCTCAGCCTTCCTAAGAAACTAAAGCGACTGCGCGCGTGAGCATCACGCGTGCGTGGTCATTGGGTGGGTGCTGGCTGGACCAGGGTTACCGTATGTGTTCGATCGTATGGGCACTCATAATATGTTACTGTGCTCAGCGTTCTCACGGACTGTCACTGACGTTTTAAGAACACCTGTTTTAAGAGTGAAGACTGTAATGCAGGTGGGTGACACCAACAGTAGCCAACCATATGACCCTAAACCAGTTACTGATTTATTAAGGCCCCTCAGACATCGTCACTGCAACATGGGGCTAATAGACCCCACTTCACAGATCACCTTTTGAAAATGAAGTAGAATATTACATACAAGAAAGCAGTTGCACAGTGTCTCACCCAGGCGAAGTGCTGTTAGTGCTGTAGCTAGTCTTCTCGTTCCAGTTTTGTGTTGCAAAGACTGATGTAAATATTGTTACCAAGTCCCATCGAGCTGGCTAGCATCAACCATCCCTTGTCCCCAGTTGCACCGGAACAGCAATTCCTACAGATGGTATCAATACAAATCCCTGTCACCATCCTCAGTCCTCAATGTCTCTCTCATTCTTCACTACTGGGGACCTTTCTCTCCCAATCCTCACCACTGCTCCACCCACAAACCAGCCCCCACTGTCATTCCAAGAGCTCCTCTACCCTGAGTGAAAAGACGGATTTCTGATTGCCACCCCTATTACCTCACTACCCCATCACAACATTTACTTACATCCACATCTATCCTGACCTCCCTCCTACCCTTAACTAGGGAGAAAGCAGCCTCTTCTTCCCCAGGTCAACCCTGCCAGCCTCCTGCCCACCTTCTCCTGTCTCCCCTGGGAGTTTATGCCTTCCCTTCAACTCTCCCTTTCCATTGACTCTTCCGTCTGACTCCTTATTTTCTCCCTCAACCTAAACCCTTGTTCAAGTATCTGCCTTTCCTTTAAAAAAAAAAAAAAGACAAACAAAATATGTTCCGGCTTGTAATTAACCGAACAAATATTTTCATCAACCTACAACAAATTACCATAAAGTAAAAGTTAGACCTAGAGTTCACAGGAACAGGATAGCTCACCCGAAACCCTAGTTGAAGCTCCACAGATGTTGTGGAGTTTAAAGGACCATCTGTTCTTTGCTAAAAATCTTAAGAATCTATTTGAGATCTCATTTGCTTACAATACTGTGTATGAGGTAAGGGGAATTGCCACACTCCCTGGGATGTATGTCAACAAACCATCGAAGTACCCATCTTGCTTTACCAAGGTTTTTGAGTCCGCTCCTTCCTTTGTTCCCATTCCTACCTCCCTTCCCCCTCAAGCAGCCATACTTATATAATCATATCAACAGGGTTTCTTTTTGTTTAGTTTTGTAAGTTCCTTTTGATGTTTTTACTTTCTATATGATTGAAATAACCCAGATTTTGTCTTTCTCCTTCTTACTTATTCACTTAGCATAATCCCTTCTAGTTACATCAGTTAGCCACAGATAACAAGAGTTCATTTTTTAAAGCTAAGTTGTATTCCATTAAGAGATTTAGGACACATTTATATACCACATCTTTTTAATCCACTGCTCTGTCAGTGGGCATTTGGTTTCCATAATTTGGCTATTATAAGTAGTACTACTTTTAATATTTCAAGGAAATTCCATACTATCTTCTATAAGGAGAAAATCAGTCTACATTCCCACCAACAGAATGTGAGAGTTCATTTTTCTCCTCTTCTTCATCAGCATTAGTTCTTTCTGGGTTTCCTTTGTTTTTGAAATGGGCCATTTTCACCAGAGTGGGATGGTATCTCATTGTGGGTTTAGCTTGTATTTCCCTGATAAATGATACTGAGCATTTTTTTTTCATGTGTCTGTTGGCCATCTATATGTCTTTTTTTTTTTTAAAAAAAATGTCTATTTAGCTCTTCTACACATATTTTTCATTGCATTCTTTGCTTTCTTTTTGTTATTTAAGTTATTTGTAGATCTTAGACATTAGCCCCTTGTTAGATGTTATGTTGTACATTCAGTAGGTGTCTTTCTCTTTTAATGATAATTTCTTCCACTATACAGAAGCGTTTGATGTAGTCCCATTCATTTATTTTTGCTTTTGTTTTCTTTATAGTTGGTGTCAGGTCACCAAACACATCCCTGAAGTCAAGATCATGGGTAGATTTCCCTGTGTTTTTGTCATGTACTTTATGGTTTCTGACTTTACCATTTTGAGTTAATTTTTATCTATAATGTGAGTGGTTGTTTCATTTTTCTGCATGAAGCTGTCAATTTTCCAGCACCATTTGTTGAAGAGCTTTTCTTTTCCCCACTGTACACTCTCAGCTCCTTATTGTAGATTAACTGTCCATATACCTGTGTTTTTATTTCTGGGCTCTCAGTGCTATTCCATTGCTAATACAGGAGCTGGTATGGTGCAGCAAAGTCTGCTACTTCTGAATCCAGAGCCTGTGGCACCTCAGGGGATAAAATATTACCAAGTCCTGCCACCACTGGGAGGCAGAGTGCAGTAGAAACCTTCAGGATAATTGTGATACACAGCTCAAAGGACAAAGTTGACCCCAAGTGCCCTTCTCCCCATTCAGGCCTCCTCCAAAAGGGTCAGTCAACTCTATTAACCCTTCCCAGCAGCCCTTCACTCAGGACTTCCCAGGTGGAGTTCAGACCAAGGCACTGTCAAAGTAAGATCCTCTGCGCTGTTGTTAGGACAACTTGGGGCAGAGTTTGTCCCCTCATCCTGGCAGACTTACTTAGTGTCCAACCTGGGAGGCCCAGCCAGACACTCCCAGGGCTGGGGAACACAGGGCTTAGCTGCACTGGGCCACTTCAACAATGATATTACATCAATCCTGGGAATACACACAAACAAATTTTTTTAATGAAAGGGTATTCCTACTTTACTGACTCAAGAAACCTTGTTTTGGATACTGAGACTTCTATCTAACCTCCACATCAACCTACAGCCAAATTTGTAGCCCATCTCTAGCAGTCTTGAAGAGTTGATGGAATATACTTTTATAGTTAAATGTATATTAGTCCTTTATATTTTACTGTATGTATTCTCTTTTCCTCGCCTATATTTAACGTGTTTTATCATGATAGGTGGCTTCCCTAAATCCTTTCTGGAACACAAGAATGAATATAAATGCATCTAGTAGTGGAGGGGGTAATAAACAAGGTGAACCCACTATAACAGAGTAATTTTACCATCTCGGCTCACTTTGAGTCTCTGATTAGAAAAGAAAATAAAAGCTGATATACTTCTATTATCATTTATACAGAAATATATGGAGGTGACTGCTACTTCCCGTTATTCCACCTCAAAAAATCAACAGGTCGGACGCTGTGTAGTCTTTCCTTTTCTCTTGAGAAAAATACTAGTGCCCCCTAGAGTCCATAATGCACCTTGCTAGTGCCCGTCATATCAGTTTAGCTTAAAAAATAATTGTAGTGACCCGACGCTAGGGATAAATTTTTAAAATAAATTTGGGGGCAGTGAATCCTGGGCAGCAATATAAAAGCTTCCCATTACCCTACAAACCACAATCGAAAATCCTCGCCGAGCAAGGAATGTGCAAAAAAAATTCCCCGCAGGTGTCTTATCTTTTTAAATCACTGTTTGAAAAGGCTTCCTCTAGTGCAGCTTCACTGGAACCCAGGTAATGATTTCCTCATTCTATTTATCTTTTGATGCAAATGCCAATGCTGCTTAGTTATAGACTGCAGTAGTGATTGGAATCACAGGTACAGAAGCTTTAAAAACCTAGTCATTAGTGGTGACAGAATTCATTCACTGCAGCTCGCCTGTTCTGAAACTGCCATCCTTAACGTCCCCGCGGCAGAGACGAGTCCCCGAGAGCCAGCCCTGAGCCCACGCCCGCCCAGAGCCCTCTTTTCCCCGCTAGTAGCGCGTTCCCGCCGGCCGCACATTCGAGGCTCGCAGTGGAGGGGATGAGTCCGGGGCGTTCGTCTCCCATTTGCCTTTCCTGCAACCTAGAACTATTACCCGCGGGGCCACAGGTTGTCCTCAGGCCTTCAGAGCCCAGTCAAGGCTTGTCTCAGAAGGCCAGGTCCGGGCGTCTCGTTCCCAGCCTGCAGGTGGCAGCCGCGTCCTTCCGCCGCGGAAACCCCGGTAGTGCAATCGAGTGCCCAGACCCTTCCCCCTCCACCAGAGCTGGGATTCCGCCTGGGCGTTCGGGACACGCCCCTCAGTTTGACCACGCCCATCCCGGAGAGCTTGGCGCGCGGCGATTGGCGGTACAGCGGGGGCGGGACTCTAGGAGGTGGGCTGAGGGGGCTGGGCCCGGGAGGGGACAAAAGCAGGGAATTCGTAAGGCCCCGCCCCCGCGCCAGTGCCTGGCTTTCCAGAGAGGCGTTGTCAGAAGCCGAGAGGGACAGCCCGGGCCCAGCTGCCACCACCCGCGACGGTACTTGTGCGCTTGAGCGTGTGTGTGGCTGCGGCGCTCGCGGTTCTTCCCGTCGTCTCTTCCCCTGAAGGTAACTGCAGCCTCCAAACGACGTCTCCGGCTTCTTCCTTTAGGGGGACGCCCAAAAGGGGGCGAGGCTGGAGTGGGGCAAGGGAAGAATGCTTGATCAGGTGGTGTGGAGGGAGGGAGGAACTTAGCGGCGGTTCGGGCGTCTAGGAAGAGGGGCGTGGGAAAGCGAAAGGAAGGGGGGCTGGAAGCCTGGGTGTGTGGAAGACCCGCTTTCGGACACGGAGGGTGAAACGGGGCGGTGGAGATCGCGACCAGTGAGAACGAAAAGGAGCGGGAGAAGATAGCAGGACTCGCCGAAGACTAGTCTGGGCTGGAAGGGAGACGGTAACCTGTGGCCAGCTGGGTGCGGAGAGAGGTGGAAGCCGAGGACTTGGGCGTGTGCAGCTCTCTAGCCCCGGCTGCAGCCTGGACGCGTCCGCGAGTGTGGGGCGGGTGGGGGCCGGCGGGGCGTGCAGGGGCGTGCAGGGGCGGGGCTAGGCTCGGGGTGGCCTGAGGGGTGTGGACCAGGCCTCGGGATGGCCCGCGCGAGGGGTGGGCTGTGGAGCAGCGCCTCCGCCCACGGGTATCTCTGCGCGGTCCGGATCCTCGAGTGCTGGGGGAGGCGTTTCCCCGCCGCCACTGGGAGTCGAGGTTTAAAGGTCCCGGCTCGCGTGAGCGTGGGGGCGGGCCCCCAGACTGGAAGGAGGAACCGAGCCAGCCTGGGTTGCAGCCCTCTTGCACAAGGACGGCGGCGGGCCGGCAGCCTGCTGGTCACTGCGACCTAAGGACGTACAAACTCCAAGACCTGCGAACGACCTACCCGGAATGCCCCCCACAGACGCACCCCCAAGTGTGTGCAAGCACCCCCCTGTTTGTGCACCCTTGACCTTTATTTGGAACTTGAGTTGGGACCTAAAACTGCACATTGTCCCTCTGGGTACACTCACCGCTAAGTTTTGAACCAGATAAATAAGGCTGGCTAGTCTTCTGACAGGGGGTGTTTTATATGTTGTCTTTCTATTCCTTGTTTTGTTTTGTCTTTAGGCGATAAACGGCACTCAGCTGAGTCTGCAAGGTTGCGAAGAGTTGGGGTGATCAGAAGTTGATTCTCTGCAAAAGTGAGAATTAGCCATTTCTCCCTTTCTGTTTTTTATTCGATGTGGCAATATTGCTTTGAGTTGGCCTTGGAAGGCTTAACGAAAGGGAGTGGTTCAAAATATTTCCAACAATAAATTGCAATTGGTTCCTTGTTTCTCTCAATTGGTCTTATCTGCAAGAGACAATTTTTGCCCAGAAATTATTGTAGTTCGTGAACTCAAAAACAACTACAAAAGTAGCTGAAATTTTGGTCGATAAAATTAATCAGGATCAGCGGCTCTATTTTCTTAGTCCAGGTTTGTTTTCTGGGATTGCACAAGTGTGTCCGGAGATTGGAATTCACCTGCTTTCAGGCTAAATGAACTGCTCTGCTGGAAGTCCTTTCTGAAGTTAGGGTTGGGGTAGAGACAGAAAAATCTGCTGGGCAAAGTTATAGAAGTTAATCCACTGGGGTCTAAAGCCCATCCTGGAGAATTCAAATCTAGAAGAATTTAGCAAGGGCCGTGAATGAAACTCCGTTTTGTTTAAAAAGTGGTTAAAATATTAATGGATAAGTTGTGAGGAGAACCTGAAATATTTCAGTTATCTGACTGAAGATAATATGTTTGCTCCAACTAAGAAGTAAATAACTGAAAAAAAAAATTCAGTGTTGAAATTTCAAGTATGGTATGTGACCTCTTATTGACTGTACTTGCTATCAAAAAAAAGTAGTCAAGTCATAAGCCTGGTTTAACTCTTTGTAGGAATATGGGCCTTGGAAATGTAGTATGGAAACCAAGTGTGTTGCTTCTTTGTTTGAACTACGTGAGATATGGCAGTGGCATCTGCATAACTGAGTGATATGTTTTCAGCTGCACTGTAAATTAAATTTGAAATTACAGACTGGAAATAATTAGTTCATTTACCCAAGTTTATTTACTTCTTCCTTTCTAGTTCAGTTCCAGATGGTTTCCCAGTGGCTTAGAGAAATTCCAAAATTAGGATTCTGAAATTAGGATTTAGAGGGTTAGTAATATATCCTGGTCTGTCACAAGAAATGGAGGCTCATTATTTACTAATCATTACATTTTTTAATTTCAAGGCCAAATTACTGTAGCTCAGTTTTTTAAGAGATTTTGCAGGCCTGTTAGCTAATAATTTTTTCAGTCTCTCTTTTCCTGACCTCAGCTATAATTTAAGGGAATGAAAGCACTTTGTAGTTGTGTTGCTGAAAAAGTTTCCATTAGATCATCATGAAAGAGAACTGAACTTTCAGCAGTCTCAGGGCCTCCTTTACTTCTCAGGGAGCAATCGAAAAAACATGGGTCTCCTTTAAACCTCATGGTTTCATTTCTTCCAAAGGCTAAACCCGGGCCCTTACTGGGACTCAGATTGATTTATATTTTCTGCCCTACACACCATTCCTCAAAATGACAATACCTCTTTGGGGGACAGTTCAGTTCCTATCCCACCCACTGACAGCTTATCTTTGCCCACCAATAGCCAGAACAGGCCAAGAATTGGGAGATTGAGGAAGAGGACAGGGACATGTTTGGGTCTTGAAAATGACCCTTCTATATACAGATTTATATATATATATATATATCACATCCCCATTATGGATTATTGCCTTTAGGAAAGCCAGCGTCATTTCTTTATCTTTGACTTTAATCTTAAAGGTCCCTTAAACATGGGTCATAAGAACTTGTTGAACCTCGTAAGGATAGGTGTTTTAACCAAAACATCCTCTTCAAAGAGGAAAAATACTAGTTTTTGTCATTCTATTCCTCTACCAGTTAGGTAGAAGTATTCAAATAAAATGATGTTGTAGAAATATCTTTTGTGAGACAAACCAGTCAAGAATAGTAATTACATTAATAAAGACATTAGCAAAATGGTCTTAGGAAGGTTATCTTTTTAATCAAATGAAATGGGAAAATGATTTCCATCTTTCTAGGTTGTTATGAACACTGACTCAGAAACCATATACAAAGTATATAGCAATGCTGTATACAAAGAACATGCTCAATTCTAATGGTAAATGTAATATGATTAGCTTTTTATCAGTCATGTATGAATTATTTCAGCAGTCACCAAATAGTTTGCATTTTGTTTTTACACCTTAATGAAATAAAGCTTGTGTCTTATCTTTTTCCTTTTCAAAGGTTTATTGAGGTCAAAATGTCTCAAAAAATCCATGGTGGTTCTGTGGTGGAAATGCAAGGAGATGAAATGACGCGAATTATTTGGGAATTAATTAAGGAAAAACTCATTTTTCCCTATGTGGAACTGGACTTGCACAGGTGAATTAATTACTCCTTCAAGTAGCAAGATCAGAAATTACAATTTTATTGATTTTAGGGTAGCACACTAATTGCTGTATTTTATGAACAGAGCTTTTGGGGAGCGATGCCTAAATAAATGGTCTATTTTAATTTTGCTAGGAAAACTGGACATTTTGTTGTTCAAAAGTGAATTAAGATGAGAACAAAGTGATTCTCACTTCTTTCCAAACCTCTATTTCCTGTGATTTATCCTCTGGTAAATCAGTGGCCAGGAATAACACAAGGTATTTATAGAAGTGAAAAATAGTAGAGGTAGATCCTTTATTAAATCAGTAAAGTAAATGTAGTTAACACAGTCATCCTTTTGATGTCTACTTTCTAGCACTCTGCTTAACTAATCAATGGACCTTCCCCCTTTTCATCTCTTACCTTATGCCTTTTTCCACCGATCATAACACAGAAAAAAACCTTAAATTTTTTAATCCAATGCCCAAGTTTTAGTGAAAGTTTCTTTAAACCATTTTGTCCTAGAGACTTGAACAATTGCCCCATATTTCAAGTGTTTGGAAACAGATATGAGTTCCTGTGGATTTCTTTCATCTTTCAATCCTGTATTTTTCATAAATTTGCTCATGCTCTTTGTATATTTGAGCTAGATAGGAGCAGAATTTTGCAAGGGTGAAGTGGCTAAAGACAGACATGGTTGAACATAATCCAAGCAAATTATTGGCAACTCTAAGTGTGTTTGCCTTAATTATTGGTCAGACTGTGGCCTGAGGACTTGGCATTTGTTTGGGTGTAGCCTTTTAATTCACAGTCTCATTAGACACTCTGTAATTATTATTATAAACTGAAGCTGTTACTGATGTCTGTATCGCAAACATGAGGAGCAAATACCTACAGAGATTAACCAGACATATAGGAAATATAGCATCAGAATCTCATTCAGGTGGGCTAAAGGTGCGCTTTACAAACGCCCTCCTATATCAGATGTCTACAGGACAATAGATGAGTTTGAAGATTTGAAGAGTTCTTGGCAGTTTACCGCAGCACAGATGCGTTGGGAGTCCTTTGCCTACAAGTGTAGGGGCTTCTGAAGGACACTTATCAAGCCAGAAGGAAAAATCACTGCCACAGACAAAAGACTGGAGGCTCAATAGACTTTTAAATTGCTACTATTACGTGACTGATTCTTTTTGAGGGATATGAAGTGAGGCCTTGGGGTTCTTTTTGTTGTTGTTCCTACAGACAGTACCCCAAAGCCATTTATCTGTTGTTTTAGCTTAGAAATGTTAAAAAGAGAAGTTAAAGAATCTACTCTTTTGCTGATAGGTTCTTCAGCAAATTGGTTCCTGTGAAGTAAAAACTGTGGATCACACTGCTTATTGGTTTAGGCATTTGTAGCTTTTCAGCATTTCCTATGCCAGGAGATAAGACGATCAGCAGCGTTATCGGAATTATCTAGGTTGAAGCAAGTTGGAATTATTTTATTTGTAAAATCATCAAGGTGCATCAAATGCATCCTGAGCTGAGATATCAAGGAAAGGAAAATACAAGAACTAGAAAGTAAAATGTAGATACTTAATAGCTTAGCAGGTTTTGATGGCTGAAAAAAATTTTAACGAAGTATTACTGGTTTGTTTTTTCTGCTTTTTTACTTAAAGTATTATGTTCTTATATATGTATTATGTTCTTATATATGTATTGTGTACTTTAAATAAAAACCTCACAGTCATTTTCTGTGTTCCACAGGCAAACAATATTCACTTTAGCTTTGAATACCCTGCAGAGTAGGTGTTAGTGTGCATTAAGTCATAACCTCCTGGGAAATACCAAACCATCAGAGGGTCTAGTTACAAATCCAGTAAACTGTGGGCTTCTTTCCAGGACAAATAGACTTGCCCAACAATGAAGAAAAGGTTCATCAGATGGCTGACTAGCATTCATGGAGAAGTCATTAGCATTTTTGGCACCGTCAAACTGGCACATTTGTCCTGTCTATAACTCCCACCACTTTATATCAACATACAAGAAAAAGCCTTTTAAAGCCTCTGATCCCTTTATTTTTAGAGCACAATATTTACTAAAGAAAAAATATGTTGGTGTTTAGTCTTACATTCTACAGTAATTATATGGAAGGAGGTTTGCAAGAGGGTTGTTCATGTGCTGTTAGGGCCTCTCTGATGAAGAATCTAGGCAAAGGGGCTGTGCACAATGGTTGCCTTTCAGTGACCTGCCAGACAGCTTCCCATAACACTGCAGCTCTCTTGGGCAATTTTTAATTGTCAGCCATCTTTCTTGTCCAAGGTGCACCAAGGCTAAAACTGGTCAGATTTAGAAATAAGGAGCTCTCACTTTTCTCCTTGCCCCCACCACACACAGGATGATACATGGCCATAGACTACAGCAGCCTCAGACACCTGAGAGCCTAGAGAGTCATGCTTACAATGTCTCCCTCCCAGCTATGATTTAGGAATAGAGAATCGTGATGCCACCAATGACCAGGTCACCAGGGATGCTGCAGAAGCTATAAAGAAATACAATGTTGGTGTCAAGTGTGCTACCATCACCCCTGATGAGAAGAGGGTTGAGGAGTTCAAATTGAAGCAAATGTGGAAATCACCAAATGGCACCATCCGGAATATTCTGGGTGGCACTGTCTTCAGGGAGGCCATTATCTGCAAAAATATCCCCCGGCTTGTGAGTGGATGGGTAAAACCGATCATCATAGGCCGACATGCTTATGGGGACCAAGTAAGTCTATGTTAGCAAAATTTGATGTGCTATGTTGTCAGTCATGGTCTTTGGTGATGTGGTTTCTTCTTCTGATATTTACTCTGATTAGGCAAGGTGCATAACGGAGAAATGTACGTTTGTATGTCAGTATATATGCATACAAACGTTTAGATGAAAGTAATGGTAGATAAGCTCACAAATATGTTCCTGTCTCAACACAAAAGAGTTTTTCTTCAGGCATATTTTTTCCCTACAGCTTACTAGAGTTGGTTTTTTATATAGGTAAGTTCCTGTGGTTCATTCAACCAAACCAGTGGTTCTCAGCGTATATTTTTGGGTGTTTGTTTTTTTGTTTTGATTTAAAAAAAAAAGTTTCTTTCTTTTAATTCCATTGCCTGCCTCCCACCTACTAGACCAATTGAATCTGAATTCCATGAGATGTAGGCATTTTAAATCTGTCCAGGTGATCCTAGCATGCAGATAGGATTGATCACCAACAAAGATTATATTAAACATCGTCACTTGGTGCTTGAAAAGAACAATTAATAGTTGAAACATGAAAACATTGCTTTCCTGCTTGAAAAATAAAAAGTATAGTTTTGTGTTTCAGTCAAAACTGGCAACTAAACAAATTCCATATTGAACATGAAAAGCATTTTTGGTACTTTGGTGCCTTTGTTTCCTACTTTTGAGATGTGGGAATAAATTGCCACCCATAGCAAAAGACTTCATATGTCAGATGTGTTCTGCAAAGACTATTTAATCTTCCCATTCTCTCACAACATTTGCCAGCTGTCATTAATACTACTGTACACAAACATAGAGAAATGATGTGGCTGGCATTTACTAGTACCTGACTCGAATCTAAGTCACTGAAGGGGTACAACACAGCAAAGACTTACAGATGCCCAGTTGTGGCCCAGGCACACATTTCCACTAGAGTGGTTCATGCCTGTGGGAGAACTTGTCCGTGGTTGGTCCTATCTTCAAGGTCATCAACCGGTCATAGCTGTTATAGAATGTATAATTGCTTTCATGGACAAGTCCTGAGCCTGGAGTTAGTAGTGATGGCAACCAAGAAGACAATGAGCCCTGAAGGTCCAAGGACCAGATGCGTGATTTTCTCTATATCATGGTCCCTCTTTTGTAAGATTTGCCTAAGAGTCCAATGAGATAATGAGATGTTGCAAGTTAATTGTTCATAGCATTTGTCTCAAATTACAAATACGAGGGCTTCCTTGGTTCTCTCATAATTATCTTATGGCCACAACTAGTATATTATCATCCCCCATACAAAGATTTCTTGATCTCCCTACTCCTCCTCTTCCCCTGTAATCCTAGAGCATTTTTAATCTATGTTCCCTTTACAGTTGAAAGGTTTTATAGTGCTGCTTTTCACTTGAGTAAGTCTTTGTTAGGTTGTAAACTTTCTAAAGGAAGATATGTTACTTTTCCCCATATCAGTGTTCAGAGTACTCCCCTTTTTGTGGTAGACACCCAATAAACTGATTTTTTTTAATTATTTATGCATACAAGAAATTCAAGAACAGGGGTACAGACCAGAGGTGTGGGAGATGGGGGTAGGCAGTGGGGTGAGAGTATTCACCAGAGACAGAGTAGGGAGCAGAATAGGCAGATTGACCGAAATACACTGTTGAGGGGAGCAGGGGACAACACAGGACAGGTCCGCTATACCATGTGGGTCACTTCCCTGGTTGTGGGTCAAACTTGTGCTGCAGTGGCTGCGGATAGCTTCATAGTGTTGCGACTTAACCCCTTGCACCACCAGGGAGGCCCAGTAAACTGATTTTTTAATGTGTTACATCTCACCAGTTTTGGAAATGTTCCATCCCCATCTCAAAGGTCAGTCTCTCTTCATCCCCATCTCAAAGGTCAGTCTACACTGCCCATTTTGTCTAAGTGTATTCCAACTCTGTATGATCTTATTTACATCCTTGTAATTCCTGTTAGGATAGCTTTGTTTCATTGTTTTTCCCCTCTCCACCTACCCCTCATTCTTACCCCAGTACAGAGCAACTGATTTTGTTGTTCCTGGACCTGGTAAAGTGGAGATAACCTACACACCAAGTGATGGATCCCCAAAGCAGACATACCTAGTACATAACTTCGAAGGTATGTATAAGTCCATCATATGCTTTATCTTTGATTTTTTTCTGACGGATCAGTTAGATAACATTATTAATGGATTTTTTAAAATTAGTTGTGTGATTGCTTGAAAGTATGACCTTAATTTACAACATTTCCATGGGACCCAAAATCTAACATACAAAGATAATTGCCTTTCATATCTTCTCATGGCATAGGTAAAAGCACAAACAGGACAGACCACTTTATTGGCAATGAATATAAATCCAAATAAGTAGGTAATTGTGCACTTCTCTCAAAACACAATGGAAGGTTGGCAGGAACCTTGGTGTATAATAATTACATGAATTATATAAATTTAACATTAATAGCTCCAAGTCACCTCTCATGTAATCTTGCTTTTTGCTCTAGTAAGGTTTGTATTTGAAAACAGTTGTGCTATTTCCTGAAATTTTCTTCTTCCCTTCTGAGTATTTATTTTGTGAAAGTAGAATGTTCGTTCTTTGCCTTTTCTTTCTCACCATCCTGTGGCTTCAAAGGTCCATTATGGCAAATCTCGCCCAAACATTGTTGAAAGGCCAGAGGGCCCTCTGTCCCCTCTTCAGAAGTTGTTCAAAGTAATCACACTAACAAAATCTTGAAGCTTACCTTCAAGATTTTTTTGTTTTCCTTGCTTCTGTATCACATCATTTTAATAAAAGCTAGGTCTGCCGGTTGCAGCTTCATTCACCAACTAAGCTCATGTTGGCCCTGAGCCGTGGCATGACTTCAAGATCTGACTCTGAGTAATAACAGAGTTCAATTAATAGAGTTATGAAACACCATGATTACATGCAATGTAATTATTTCTATTAATGATAGTATGAACTTTCCATATCCTCCAGAAAATTAGAAGAATTTCCATTTAGTAACGAAATTGCAAATTTTTCACAGTAGCTGAGGATGGAGTACACATTGAGGATTTTAAATACATGTCTGAATTTTTAAAGCATGAAAAGACAGTTTAAAATTGATTCACTCCAATAATGGGCCAGGCGAGAAAATAACAAAAATAATGAACAACCATATACCAGAGACATTTTGTGAGGGTGGAGTGGGGAATGGGATTAAAAATGGGGGGGGGGGAGAGAAATGCACAGGATTATGGTGATGGCACACGGGTGATTTGGTGATGGGAAACCCGCAGGGATTACAATCGAGATGGGGGGAAAAATGTACAAAATGATGTAAAAATAAACTTTTATAATAAAAAAAAATTGATTCACTCCAATGTATTTCCAGTCACATCGGTAGTTTCAGGTATTTCACTATCTTCAGGACCCATCAGACCCTGTTTTTCCACTTCTCTGGTCCTTTCAAAATGACAGTGTCCTTATTTAGAACTGACTTGCCTCCTGTTTTATGCCCTAGGAACTCATGGGATTTTCCAGGTGGAAAGCCTGCTAGGGCTTTTGGAAACCTGGGCTCAGATGAGGGAGTGGGGGTTGAGTTTGGGACGCGGATACAGATTTGCTGCAGCTAAGCCCCACTTCCAGTTCTCCCCTTTCCTCTCTCCGGTGCCCTCCACAGATGGCGGTGGTGTTGCCATGGGGATGTACAATCAAGATAAGTCAATTGAAGATTTTGCACACAGTTCTTTCCAGATGGCTCTGTCTAAGAGTTGGCCATTGTATCTGAGCACCAAGAACACTATTCTGAAGAAATATGATGGACGTTTTAAAGATATCTTTCAAGACATCTATGACAAGTAACTGCTGTTCTTTCTCCTTTTTTCCTTGAGTAAGCTAGTATTTATAGTGTAGAATTTATATCCTTACCATTTGACTGTGAACTAAAAACTGAGTAAATGCTGTCACTAACCCTTTAAAACTGGAGGCTTATTTATCAAGAGAAGAACAAAATCACTTGAAGTTTTTAGAATACGTGTATTTTCAAGAAGGATCTATCAGAGCCAAAATTGTTTGTTTGAATGATGGTTCCTGATAGTGACAGAGAATTCTAATCTTTGAAGTATTTGACTTGATTTGACCCATTTCCCTTCTCTCTTAAACCCATAGTTGTGATTTAAAACTCTGCTTTAGTACAGTCATTGAACTTCAGTCAACATGTATTATAACTTTGGGTTCAGCAACAGTAAGCATGTGTTAAATATTTTTATCAGGCATTTTTAATTCCTCTTTCCACTCCATCTATAAAAAACCTGGAAGTTTCCTAGTTTCTTAAACAGTATCACACAATAGTCTTTTTTCCCCCCATTACGTTGATAATTCTTAAGATTCTGACCAGCAGTAAGTTGCCACTACATAGTAGAACTTAGGACACTCTACTGTCTTACTTGATTCTTGCATTTCTGTAAATTGGGCAGAAGTCACCTTTACAGGGGGTTTCACCACTAGAAAATGATAGGGCAGGGATTCAAGCCCTTATCTGAAAGATTCCCAAGTTGTGCTATATCAAGTAAAAAACTGCAATTTCCACTCTCAACCCCTTTGGAGAAGCAGATAAAGTCCCTAAAAACACTAGTTTTCTTTTTCATTCTCTCATTTCTTAGGCAGTACAAATCCAAGTTTGAAGCCAAAAACATCTGGTATGAGCACAGACTCATTGATGACATGGTTGCCCAAGCTATGAAATCAGAGGGAGGCTTCATCTGGGCCTGTAAGAACTATGATGGCGACGTGCAGTCGGACTCCGTGGCCCAAGGTAAGGCACTGAAGGACCACAGAGAGGTGCATGTGGCCCACAGCAGGCAGGTCGAGCCACAGCGGTGCTCTGGCTTGAGAAGGGCATGTTAGCACCACAAGGCACCAAGATCCCTCTTCTCAGCTGACAGAGGAAATTAAGCTCAGTCTGGAGAAGTGACTTCATACAGGGGTGCACAAGCCTTGCGTTTAGATGTTAACAAGGGTTTCTCTCTCAACCTTTTCTTCCAATTGAAGTTTCAAAGTCTGTAACAGTTAGCCCAACTGCCCAACCTGGAAATCACTCTCCCCACCCCCCTTATTTTCCCTCTGATGAGGATGTAAAATAACGAGCATCCTGAGAAAAGGAGGGTAAAATGAGCGGATTGGGTTGTCTAGTAATCAAGATTTTCCAAGAGCTCATTCTTCTGGCAACAGGTCTTTGGGCATCATGCCCCGTCTGTGAGTCTTGATCATTATTCTGATACTATATAGTACACATATGTTTACTGCTTAATTATAAATGCAAAGGAATTGAGGGCAGGGCTGTTCACAGAAGTTCCAGGAATCAGGAGCTCAACGCCAGAGTAAAGACCAGACCAATGGAAATGCTGCCATTTCTGGTTTCCTCAGCACCTAGTTTCTGGTCCAGCACCTTCCATTTCAGTTCCGTAAACTTAAATTGTTCCTGTTGACAATTTGCATTGACGTTAATTATGTTGCTTTTTATCAAAAAATACTGCTTTTTCTTTCATTCATGGAATGTTAAGCCATCTCCTATTAGTTTAAACCTCGACCTGTAGATCCAATAGTCAAAGATTACCTCATATCAGAGATAGTTGCACAACTCTTTCCCCTCCTTCTGCTTCTCTACATCTGCACAATTGTGCATCTGGGTACAGTAGCAGAAGGAGTGTTGTTTTGTGATGACTCCTGGTGGGTCACTCCTTGGAAAGTGACCCAAATCATTCCAGTGTTTCTGCTAGTCCTCATGGCAACAAGAGTCTGGAGAGAGTTTCATCATATAAAGTTGTATTATTAACTCCACAGCTATTAGTGGGAAGTAACAAAACAGAGAAAAGTATTCTTTCAATTCAAGTGTAGAAGAGTAAATAAAAGAAGAAAAATCAATGGTGTGGATGTAAAAGTTGTCATGTGATTCTCTGAATAGGAAACCACAGAATAAAGTTGTTTAATTGGGGCCATTAAAGAAGGTGAGAAAGGGCAAGCGATATGTTCTGGGGTCCACCCCATCCTGTTTTAAACAGTCTTTTCTTGCCAGTCCAGTGAGTGTGAGCAGTTGCATGATAGGACACAACTCCCCATGATCCCTTTTCTCTAACAGCAGAGCGTCAGCACATAATAGTAGTAAACTAAGGAGTGTGAATATATATTCTCTTCATATACACTCAAATGCATGCATATTAATCAAGTTCAGTCTACCTATGAAGTAGGTGCTTTCATTATTCCCATTTTGTGAGCAGGCAAAAGCGGCGCCACAGTAGCTAAGCAGTGACAGAACTAGGGAGCAGTGCAGGTGCTGGGCTCTGAGCCCTCCTCTCGGATCAAGTGACATAAATGAGGAAAAGGTGCAGCCTGTGCTGACTGCCCGGGACCCAAAGGGCAATCCCTACTTTCTGAACGGAAAAGTGCCCCTGTTTGTTGTGGTCCCCGAGAAGATTCAGTCCTTCGCTCTTCCCTCTGAGACCCGGACTTTGTGTAGTGGAACCTAATACTTCCTGCTCTCACGTAGGTTATGGCTCCCTTGGCATGATGACCAGCGTGCTGATCTGCCCAGATGGCAAGACAGTAGAAGCAGAAGCTGCACATGGGACTGTGACACGTCACTACCGCATGCACCAGAAAGGGCAGGAGACATCCACCAACCCCATAGGTGAGATGGTGTTTACTGCTGCGCTGACTTCTGGCTGTGAGCGCGGCCTGTGGAGGCCTCGGACATGTTCCTTTGGCCGCTCGGTGCTTTGTGTGTGAAATCATCACCCAGCTCATACATCCTACTAGATAAGAGCTGCTTTAATATGCTTCCTGAGATATACATAATACATGCTCTTCCATTTTGTGGGGAATATAAAATACAAGAATGGCTGTTTCAAGCATTTTTCTTTTCCTTTGGTGCAGCAAAATGTGACATCTGGCTAAGAATCAAGAAGCCTTATAGATTGAGCCTTTTAACCAGGATTCAAGGACAGCACTTTAAAAAGATATTACAACCTGGAAAGAGACCAATATAGACAAGAGATAGAAGAGACCATGACCTTTTCCAAATTAGCAGATGCCTTAAGCTTCAGTTCCTACTGCCACACTGTGTAAATGTGCGTCTTAAAACTAACAAAACCCAAAATATTTCTTCCACCAAAATGCAGATTTTTTTTTTTTAGTTTCTGTTTGGTTAAATATTTCTAACTTTCAAAAAATTCATAGCCTATGTGGACAGTATCTAGTGAAGTCAGTTACCCAAGCACACAAAAAACTGTTCTGTTTCTAGGAACTGTGACTTGTTTAAGAATCTTTCTAACTGATACAATTGAAGAGTGCTTTTATTTTTCTTTTTAGCTTCCATTTTTGCCTGGACGAGAGGGTTAGCTCACAGAGCCAAACTTGATAACAATAAGGAGCTCTGCATCTTTGCAAAGGCTTTGGAAGATGTCTGTATTGAGACCATCGAGGCTGGCTTCATGACCAAGGACCTGGCAGCTTGCATCAAAGGTTTACCCAAGTAAGTCTAAGATGCCTGGAGCTCACTAGTCAGGTTACCACTTATCCCCACTTCGACTCACAATATCCGTGCTTTTTGAAAATACCTGAATGGTTACTCATCTAGTTCAGGGGTCAGCAGACACTGTCTGTAAACTGTTAATGGTAAATATTTTGAACTTGATAGAACGTAAGATCCTCTGAAACATGCCACTATTTAACTTTGTCTCTATGGCAGGAAAGCAGCCAAAGAAAGAGAAGTGAATGGATGTGGTTGTTCCAGCAAATTCTATGTCAAAACCAGCTGCTGCCTAGATTGGGCCCATGGCCTGAGCAGCATGCTGACCCCTGATCTCATTGACAGTCAATGGATGACAGAATTCTGTTCAATTTAATAAGAAAATTATAATCAGAAACAAAGGGTCCCCTGAAGCAATACTTTTTCAGTCTTTTATTTTCTGCAATTTACAGATAAGAAAAGTAAGCAGCTCCAGGATTAGATGCTGTGGGTCACAGCCTCTTCCTTAAGATCTATAATCAGTAGTTAGATATTTAGGGTCTGGGTATTGCCCAGTTTTCTGAGAACATATAGCTTATATCCAGCTGAATTAACTGTTGATCAAGACTCCTCCCTCAAAGTCAGGGTTGGTTATAATGACTCACCTCAAGAAATACTACTAAACTTGAGTACCAATCTAATGTGTCCTCAGAGATCTATTATATCACAGTAATAGAGATCTATTGCCTAGTCTTAAATTTCCAACATGAAGATGCAGTGTTTGCAAGCTTTTTAACAGTGTGAGATCTTTGTAGAGTATTTGAATAGATACCTGTCAGTGGTATCATCTAGCCAATTCATTGTCTTTTGTTTTTCCTTAAGACATTGATAAAGCTGAGAGCATTAAAATTCTTTCATAAGCAGCAGTGACAGTGTGTGGGACATGGGTAGAAACACAACCATAGTGCAATGAAGTTTATTTCTGTAAGAATGAGGAAAAAGAAGTGGGGCACTTTCCACCTCCCAGACATTGGTCTGAACTGAAGCTCTGGGATAGTTTGACCTTCATGATGAGGAGCCTGCCGTGCATGAGTCTGTGGCCAAGCCGCCGTCACTGCAGCCACTGGCCATAAATTTGTAGCTTAACATCATCAAAGGCTCCTTAAGTAGCATTTCTAGGATTACGCCTCTCTTTGATACCAGAGCAGAGACAAACTCAATTTCCTTCTTTCTTTTTTTCTTTATCCACTAGTGTGCAACGTTCTGACTACTTGAACACATTTGAGTTCATGGACAAACTCGGAGAAAACTTGAAGATAAAACTAGCTCAGGCCAAACTTTAAGATCATTCCTTGAAGGAGGATATGTTTTCTGGTAACTAGACTCAGCTGTTTACATTTTTCTGTGTAACACTCAAGGATGAAGGCAAAATCAACTTTGTAATTTGTTTGGAAACCAGACTTTATCTTTTCTGTAAGTTTACAGCCTTTTTCTTATATATACAGTTCTGCCACCTACTTGAATGTGGCAGCAAGTTTCTAAATTTTTATTTTCTATTAGTAGCCTAGGAGTTACTTCAGTGCTCATTCATACTCACTGTCCTTTTTTCTCCTGTTCTGACACAAATGACCAAAATGAAGAGTGCTTGAGTCACAGGAGCGTTCCCTCACTATGTACAAGGCAGAGATTCCCTCTTCTTCCCTGGCCAAGGGCGCTGGCCGGTTTGGGCAGCAAGTGCCCCTTGATGAGAGGTAGAGCTACCCCTGAATTCGCATGTGATTCGGAATGAAGAGTGTGGTGCAGCTGAAACAAGTCAAAGACAAGGCAGTCATTTTTGTAAAGGCTCTCCTGAATGTTTTGAAAATGTTACATATTTTAGAGGCCACTGGAGTGTTTAGAATCCAGAATCAGTCTCCAGGGCATCGGGAGAGGTCTTCTGTCTACTTCTCTTGGCCAGGGGTGGCCGAAGTGTTAACGTTACCCTAGCAGAATATCTCACCTAAGTGCAATAATACAGCTGCACCTTTTTTGAACTTTTGCTGGCCCATTTTATTTCTTTTATATACATGTGGTTTTCTCCAAAAGTTGATTTAAGACACTAGAACTATTCTCATCTAACTGTTAATTAAAATTAAATACTAATGACTCTCTGAGTTTTTATTTACCGAGTATCTTGTTGCCAGGTGCTGTCCTAGGTCCTAGCCATCAGAATTTGATTTTTAGAAGTCTCTGTCTTCATTCAGTTTCTTGTGGCAGAAATGGATAAGCAAACAGGCAGATGTGGATCCTAAAAGGAGAAGAGACCCAAACTCAGCACAAAAAGGGTAACTGGAATATTATGAAATCAAGCAAGTGCTAAAGAGTTCTGATGAATTTAGGGACTATGGAAGTTGATAGGGAGTTAGTGAAAATTTTAGAAGTTAAAACAAAAGTAATTCCCTCGGCAGCTCTTATAAAGAGAAAATAGTAGTCATGGGAATAAGGATTGGTGTGAACAAATGAGGAAGGTAGACCAGTTGGAAAGCTGGTGTGAAATGATGACGATCTGAACTCTGAGACTCTGGCACTGAGAATGGGGACATCAGGGACAGTCCTGAAAAAAGAAAGCTAGTAATTAATGGGCCCCAGGAGATGTGGGGGTGAGGGTTCCCAATTTTCTGACTCCACATCTGGCAAAAGTTTGGGCCACACCCCAGAATTACCACTGAAGGGGAAGGAATTTGAGGGTTCAAGTGGAGTTTGATCAAGTTTCAGAGGATGTCAGTGACCATTTTAGCTTGCACCAGGAATCTTTGTAGTTGAGCCAGGACTCTGTGTACTGTGCCTTCACATGTTTAATTTTGAATGCAAAAAGTTAAGTATCACACGGAATAAAATGATGGTGTAGAATTGAAGGGTCTTAAATAGCCCTTAGTGCACTCACAGGCATTCTGGAAGTTGATCATATGTTGCTCATAGCAACAACCATGAGCCACTTAATGGTTTAAAATAATCAGCAAATCAGCAGTGCTGACCAATCCATCCAGAGGCTAATGGTTTATTCTGTAACAACATGAGCATCAAAGTTGTTCACCTGGAAAATGACTGCTGTTTAGCACAACAAGATTCAGGGAAGGAGAAGATGTGAACTCCAGACTGAAAATCTCTAAATTACAAGTATAGTTTCTTAGGTGGGTTCTGTAACTGAAGACATTTAAAATTTAATCTTAATGAGAAACTCAACTCCCCTGTATTCTTGCCTGATAAGACACCTGACAGATGATTTCCTTCCTACTTTTGAGGATTAATAAAATTTCTTCCAAATTAAGGGTCTTGTCTCTTCCTGTTGAGAAGATTAGAAGGTAACATAAGTATTAATGAAGACTTTGTATATAAATTTTGTACTTTTATCTGAGTAGAGGTTTTATTTCATAGTTTTTATTTTTAATATTTTGGAAAATGTACCATCCAAATTAATTTCTCTTAAACAAGAAACTTGATCAACTGAATCTAAATGCTATCTCAGACTCTGAAAGAGGTGTTTTGTGGACATTGTGTCATTCTTGTAATTTAATTTTGACAATATTTCAAACTTAGCAAAAAATGTAAAGAATAGTATGAGGAAATGCAATAACCCTTTGCCAGTTTACTTTGGTGCATCTGTGCAACCTCTTATTCTTTTATACAACGCATACTACTTCCCCTAAACCATTTCAGAGTAGTTGAAAGACCAAGGTTGGGGGCAGGGGTAGAAGGAGGCAGGGGAGCTTGATACATGTGAAAGGATGGAATTTTTCTACTCAAAGTTATTCCTCTTCCAATTCTCCATTTTGGGAAATGATTCAAACTAAAATCCTTCAAAATCTTCAGCAATATGTTCCTTATGATTTTGTATACAATAGGGGTACTTGAATCTGATCACTTGCTTTATACATGCAATACCCATTTGGATTCCAGTCTGCACCTTTAAAGCTTCTCGTAACAGACAAAGACACATGAGCGCATGACACCTCAGAATCAAGAAGACATGAGCCTTTTCACTTAAAATAGTTTGCAATTTTTTAATTATATTGAGAATCTGTCACTCTTGAGATATACCAGTTCCATTTTGCCTATAAATAGAAATATGGTAGTTAGCATATAGTAATTAGAAAGAAAAAGCCTCTGCTCTGTAAGGTCATCTGACCTTACAATAGATGTTACCATACTTGATTTAAAAATCTGCCAATGATGAATTGTGAAAGCAACAAGAGAAAAGCTCCTCAACATATCCAAGGGCTCTTCAATAAAAGTAACAGTTGATTTCTCATTATGAGCTATGAGGTCCAGAAGACAATAGGATAGTATATTCAAAGTATAAGGGGGAAAATATCCCAGACACTCGAGTTGTCTAGGGATGGAATGATTTCTGAGGGGAGTTTGGTCACCTTTGAAATACCTTTCTTATTACAAGATATGTTCAGCCTTTAAACAACAATGTATTTGTCCCAAGGAAATAGCCAGCATGTTACTGCTGTCACCCAAACATTTTTGCCTAACCCTACTGCATTAAAAGTTTGTATTTCTATCATTCTCTAAAAATCTGTAATACTTTATTATAATTTTATGTAAATTTATGTAATTTGTTACATATGTATACCTAGTATACTTAGTTTATGTCTATAGTAAACATTTGGACGAAGTACAGGTAAGCTTTGTTCTATTTATCTTGTTTAATCTCATTACCCAACTTGGTTATTAGGACTAACTGATAGAATATTCAGTACATCTTTTATAGTGGAAAGAACTGTTTAATATGTCTTTGGAATTAAAATATATTAACTTTAACATTATCCACTCAGATTTCAAGGATAAAAACAGAATAAAGAAGATATATCATAAAAATCATTCTAAAGTCTGAAGGACTGAATCACTTAAGGGACCACTGTCAAAAATAGACAAGACCCTAGAAGATTATTGATTGCAAGCTAAAGATGAGTTCAACTATAGATCCAGTGAATCTGAGACAGGAAAAAAAGCCCAATGGGAGAATTCCAAGCAGGCAAAGGATTGAAATCAGGACCAGAGAGGTAGACAGCTAAGTTTTAAAAATAGAGATGCTCTCAAGAAGGAAAAAGTGGCAAATAAGAATAACAGGTGGGCACTGATTTGCCCGCAGCTGAGTAGGAAGAAGAATCAGAGAAGGATGGAGAAGAATCAGGGAACTACAAAGAAAGAACAATCTGAAAGACTGGGACAGTCAGTGTCAATGGAAATCAAAGGAGAAACTAATTCTTGAGAAAGGGCTTAGCATTAAGGATTCAGAGAACACTGGCAACTCTTGGCAATCATACTTTTAAAGTCACACTAATAAAACAGTGCTAGGGGATAGGTCACTGGCTGTAGGTTCTCACAGATGGGCTCAGGGCCCAACAGCAACAGGGTTTATTTAACAAACAAGGAGATTGGAAAGAAAGTTTTTAAGGCCGCAGAGGCCAGCTGTCTCACCCTCGATAGTATCCTCAGTGTCCACCAAAGACTGCTAGTGTGAGACGACACTGTTTCGTCAACTAGGGCCTGGACCAGAGGCTTCTCCTCTGAAGGGTATCTCATTCCCATCTTGTGAGCTGATAATACTGCCATCTCTGAGTAGGAATCACTTGAAGAAGGACTGTGAAAACATCAGTAAGAGAAAAAAAAAGTTTTACATAAACAACTGAATCAAATTCTAAGAGATGTTCAACTTTTAATGAAACTCCAAACCTGTTTATTCATTCAACAATTAATTTTGAGGGTTCTGCCTGCCATAGGCCTAGGCCAGGGCCCCACTGTGGTAAATCAGACTTGATTCTTCCCCCTGGATCCAGAAAGAGAGTAGTCTGGCAAAGTTGTATAGAACTCTAAGTTGGCTCTTAGGGTCTGCATATGTAGATTATACAGGCAACTTTTGTCAAGCGAATATAAATCCAGTTAATATTTAGTAACATCAATTGCTCATGGAAGGTACAGTTTTGTCTATTCAACTTTTCAAGTTTTAGTCTCAGTTGGCATAATTATGTCTTAAACATGGTTTTGTCATTCTGATGTGCACTAACCTTATGGGTAATCAGTTAATAACATTCTGTAGCAATAGGCCATGCTGGTTAAGAAATACAAAGTCAGAAGAATGAATCCTTACAGACTCCTGACATGTGGGAGGGTGACAGTTTCTAGACACATGATTGAGTAACCAGGAAAGACCCCATGTAAATTAGAATATGGAAAAGCAGTGCATAGACAGTTTTATGCAAACTTAATGATTTAAGCACTTAATTCAGCTCATTCTGTGGTATCAGAAAGTAAATTGTTTTCTGGAGGAAAACAATTTTTTGTAGATGAAATTAACTTTATCCAGTTTCAAGTTACAAGCGTACAAATAGGCCATGATTCAACAGTTTGAATAAATTGTTTGCTTGGCACTGAAATGCAATTTCTTGCAGAAGCACTGTGGTAATACTCAGTTTCTCACTAGAGTAAAAGTTGACAGAGTTCACATTTGTGCATGATCCTATACATGCATTTCATTTAAGCCTGGCACAGCTGCCACTGCATTTTGCAGAGGAGGAAACCAAGGCCCAGGGAATAAGTGATTTGCCTCGGCTCAGCTAGTATAGTAGCAGGATAGAGATAGAACAAGGATCTTCTCAGTGTACTAGATTAAAATGTTTCTAAAAATATGAACCAAGGCTGCCTTGCGACACAATGTGAACAAATGGGCAGAACACTCAATTAGTTATTCAAATGCAGATTCCTGGACTGGCCTACAGAAAACTGAAGGTAGGGTCCCAGGGACCTCCAGGTTAGCGAACTTCCAGGTAATTCTAAGATTTGAGATTTGAGAACCAGGAACGAGAGAGAGGCAAAAGGCACCAGATGTAGCAAGTAAATTTATACAATGGTCTGTTTGGCTAATTTCAGCCGTTTTAAAGAGAGAATAAGAATGATTAACTGCAAGTAATCACAAATGGATACGATTTAAGGTGTATTGTTCACTTTATGCCCCTTCCTGGCTAGTTTTTGTGTTTTGTTTTGTTTTGTTCTGTTCTGTTCCGTTCTGTTCTGTTCTGTTCCGTTCTGTTCTGTTCTGTTCTGTTCTGTTCTGTTCTGTTCTGTTTTGTTTTGTTTGTGGCAGGTTGTCTCTGAGATCC